GGAGGCAAGGGGGCGGGAGGGATTCCGCATCTTAATAGTAAATCCTGAAGACCCTCCCTTGTGCTCCCAAGCGCCGTTTGTCTGCACTGAGTGGAAGGAATCCTCTTGCCAGCCAGGAGCTGCCTCCCACATCAAAGATGCTACTGTTTGAAGCATTCACCTTCCTGTATTAGCACACGGGTGCCCACCAACAGCAGAAGAAACTATTTACTCCTACATAAACCACTAGCTTCCTCGCTGCAGTCCGTGATGTTTTAGTCGTTCTTTGGCTTCATGAAAAATCCCCAGGATTTCACATTCTGTTAGACAACTGCCTATCCAGCCCCAGGTAGCTTGTTTTTGGTAGACAGCGACCCGCCAAAACCTGGAAGATGAGCCTTGCCCAGTCAAGCTAATGCCAAAGCAGCAAAAGGGAAGGTGAAGGTGATCTGTGATCCCAAATTCAGGAAGAAAATATAATCAGGGCAGCTGAACTGGAGGCTTCCCAGCCTGCTTTTTATTTCAAAAAGTAGTTACTGTTCTTGCTCTGAGGCTCTATGGCTGTTTTGGTTACTTTTACTTTTTATTCTTTAAAAAAAAACTTGTAAATTGCCCCGTGGGGGCTTGAAAGGTAGTATCAACATATAAAAACAAGGATGATTCAGAGATTCTGCTGGGATCTCCAGGCCTACCCACTAGCTGCAAACCTGTTCAGGTGTGGCTGGTTTCTCTCTCACCTGAAAGGAAGAAGACCACAACCACGGAGTTCACAATGGAAAACCAATGTATCTGTACGTCGCTCATGGTGAGGTAGGTGTCCCAACGGGAAGCCCACTTGATGTCACTCTCCTGCAAGAAAAGCGAAGGGAGGCAGGAGTTTGATCCAAAGAGGCTCTGCTAAGGGCTGGTCTGCTGGCCTTTCCGGATTTAGGAACGGCTGTTCTCAGAAGTGCCCCCACAGCCCTTTTCAGCCCCAAACAAGTTAGAACAAGACCAAAAACCACGGGAAGAGAAAGGGAAGATCGACTAGCCCTGTCTCCCGGCTGGGAAGGGAACCACAATGGAGCGTTGTTTCCCTCGGCCCCTCCCTCCCGGAACCAGTGGTCACAGCTGTGCCCAGTGGGGCGGAAATTCCACCTAAGGGACCGCAGGATGGGCCTTTGTGGGCACAGAAGGAATGCTGCCGTGCTGCCTATTTTTGCAGTCTGTTGCTCTGAGGGCTGGAAATGGGGCGTGGAGCTCCAATGCCAAAGCAGCGGAATCACTTCACACTGGAGAAGCCCGTTTGGGCTCAGCCGCCCAGAAAACTGGCCACTTCTTCTGCGGTTGCCACCAGGACGGGTCTGTGCCACAACAGAGCGCTCTGCTTCTAGCGGTCACCAAATCTTCCTCTGAATAATGGGGCACCCAAGGCAAGACTGGATTAGAATTTCTCAGCTTCGTGGGCCATTTCTAGAGATCAGCTCAGGAGAAAGTACTTAAGAACCTGAATCTTCATCCACAGCTGTCCTCCTCCAGACCCAAGGCCCCCATTTGCCCTTCTTTCAATCCTTAGCCCTCACATTCCTTGTTGCTTCCCCCCGGTCAAAAAAACAAACAAACCATGATGTTATTTCTTCCTGCTCTTTCTCCTCCGCAGCTCAACCTCTTACCTCCCAGTGCACAGAATAGGTGAAAAAGAGTTCATTCGGCTTCTTCGGATCAATTTCTTGAGCAGAGGCACTGGCAGCTTCAGGCAGGACACAGACCCCCTTCTCATCCACCTTCATATCTGTGGACCAAAGACTTGGGTCAGGACAGCTAATCTTTCTTTGGCCAAAGGCTCAGAGCTGGGCGATCAAGGTAAAATTTCAAATTGTGGCCAAGCTAGCAAGGATGATGGGAATCATAGTTCAAAAGCTCTGGAGGGCTCCAGGTTCAAAAAGCCAAACCTGGCAGCACTGCCCACTTCATAAACTTCTCTCCTGTCAGGGGGAATACCACGTGAACCTTTTAGATCCTGGTTACATCCAGCCTGGGATTTTCTGCCAGGGTTTTGCATTCACACTTAGTACTAAACAGGATTTTAAAATGATGCATTACCTAATAAGCCACAGTGGCCTGTATGACACATCCACTAAGCCAAACACAGACCAACCACTTTACAGTCTGCTATCCTTCACTGGTTCCTCAAGGACTCAGGTGGGCATTTTAGCCCACTCCTGTTCTGTAGGAGTACCAGGAAATACAGGGTTCTTTGAAGGCAAAGTACTGAAGGTGGGCCACAAAGCTTCAACAGGAGTTATGGGGACCCACAGAGAGCTATTTTCCCCTCCTTCACAAGTCATCCTAGAATGACTTCCTTAAAGCACCGCCCCAGCAGGGAAGGCCACCTCGTCCAGTCCTCCATTACTGCTACAGGCAAGATAGGATCAGTGCAGCACCTGGGCAGGTCAGACCGAATCGAGAACAGCCACAGTCTTCTTACCTGCAAGCGCAATGCTCTGTGGGATGACTTCAAAGCGAACCACCCGATAGGTGGGCTCTTGGTTCTCCTCCACGTCCTCTCTGTGGTAGTAAAGGATGAAGGAAAGGTGGTTGTGCAGGAAGAACTAAAACAGATGACACGGAAATACATATTAGAGGGCCTGGAATAGGGAAAGGCAATTTGGAGGAGACCCCCTTAGGTCCTCCCTAAATAGTCTCTGGATAGGGCCCCTCAGAGAGGGTTTTTCAAACTGTGATCCCTGAAGGTCCAGGGTTCCATGAGAACTTGATGGAGTTCTATGAGAGATTAAGGATTTTAAAAAAAGTTCACACAAATGCAGCTTGTTTTCTGTCACCTGCATTTAGCCTCTCGATCAGAGGCTCCAGGATTTTTTTAAAAAAACTAACAAGCTGTGTGGCCTGAAAAAGTTTGAAACCCCTGCCTTACAGAACTTCCTCACACACTTCCCTGAGCATTGTACAACGAGGAAGGCTGAAATGCAGAAAGAAGTCAAAGCAAATATATCCAAAAAATGAAAAGATTTGGTCATTTCTCCTGCCCCAAATCATTTTAAGCTGGATAAAAACAGGATGACTCACACCTAATCATAACTTGTTTGGTTCTCAAGTGATACGTTCAGATTTCCAACAACTAGTTGGCAACAATTGGGTGCCAGTCAGGAAGTAGGAAATCAAAAGCCACCAATGCCATACAAAAGAACGGATCATAGAGACCGGCAATTTATTAGGGAGAACTGGGCAGAAGCGTTTCCGGACATCTTTGAGGGCCTGCTGGCTCCTTTGGAATGCACATCCCTGTCAAACGTTGCCCCCAAAGTACAAATGCATTCACAACATTATTAGCACCAGCTGCGAATCTGCCTTCCTGCTCTTTAGGGCACATTCCTTAAAAGCCCCCTTGCATGTTCCTGTAAGTGAGGGAATGCCTGAAAACTCTCCTTCTGCCTCTCTTGCTATTGCATGGAGAAAGGAAGCTGTTTCTAGTCTTCAGATTTTAGAATCTGGAAGGTCAATTCAGATGAAAAAGACATGGATCCCCTGGCCATTAGTGCCTGAATTTGCTTCTTGTGCTGTTCCTTCCCTCCTCTTCTCTTCTGTACAGGTGGTCTTTGGGTTATGGCCACTTGTTCAATGACCGTTCAAACTTGTGACGGCGCTGAATGAGGGGGACTTATGACCAATCCTCAGAGTTCTGGCCATCGCAGCGTCCCTGACATTGCAGCGACCCAGAGTCACATCATCCTGATTTCTGATGTTCCTTGCCGGCTTCCCCCCAAGCAAAGTTAATAGGGAAGCCGGCAGGAAGTCAGAAGTTGCGGTCACATGAGATCCTTGCTTAGCAACCCACATGGTCCTCACTTAACAGCAGCAACCAGGATTGCCAGACCGTCACTAGGTGATACAGTCACATGACATTGTGTTTTATGACCGTGTTGCTTAGCAATAGCAATTCCAATCCCAATTGCCATCATAACCCAAGGCCTACTTGTACTAGGCTACTGAGCTGCAAGCCTGGGAGGAATTTATCAGTCCTCATGGTCTCATACCAGTATAGCCATTCTGCACTCCATGAATGCCAAAGTGTTTGCTAGCAGGGAACAAAAGTGCTGTTCTACATGAGTAAGACAGAGTGCTTGAATGACACTGCCACAGGCCAGATCAGGCTTGATGAGCATCAAGGGTGAGATAGCTACAATCTTCAGCTCTCTCTGTAGGAGAGCTGCTCATTATTGCAACTAATGTCTACTGTGTGTGAGTGACAGGTTACATTTGCACCCTGTGCCCCAACAAGCTTCCCCAGAGTACCAGTTCTTTGCTACCTGGACCCCAAGCCTTAGTGTCTTGTCCCCTCTCTGGAACAGAACTGGTTTCTAGACTCAGCATCTACCCCTCTGAGTGTTTCTCTGGCTGTGATCCTTCCTGGAATTAGACCTCAAAATATGTAATTACTGGTAGTCCTCACCTAACGACCACAATTGGGACCGGTAGTTGAGTGAAGTAATTGTTAAGCGAGAAGCCCACATGACTGCTTTGCTCAATGACTGCAATCTGGGCACTCCCAGTTGTGGTCATTAAGCAATCTCCTGGGTCGTTAAGTAGACAGAGCAAAAGAGCTGTCTGCCGAAGGATTTCAGTTCAGCGCAGAGCTGAAATCTTCCTGGCAGGAGCCCTTTCGCTCTCAAGCATTCCTGCAGCCCTGTGAAAGGCTTCCCTCCTCTCTGTGGACGGAGGGGAGATCCTTCCTGGGGTTGGGGAAACCTCCCAGTGGTGGGCAGGTATGGAGCTCAAATTCTGAAGATTTGAGCTTGTTCCTGCACACTGCTGCATTCCCTCTGCTCACAACCTTCCCTGCTGGCTTCCAATGGGGAAGCCAGCAAAGAAGATTGCAAATGGCGATCACATGATCGCAGAGCACTTGGCAGCTGGTCGTAAATTTGAGCCGGTTGCCAAGTGCCTGAAATGCGGCCACGTGACTGCGGGGGAGGGGGCAGCATTTTATAATGGCTGGAAGTGCTTTACGGGTCGTAAAGCATCCTTTCTGAGGCCGTCGGAACTCTGAACCATTGTTAAACAAACGGTCGTTAAGCGGGGACTACCTGTACACTTTTGCAACTCCCAATCCATATTCAGTGCAGGGCAGCAATATGCCAGGAGCTGCAAGGCTGACAGCATGAAAGAATTCTACCCCGAAGATGTAGAGAAAGATTTAACCTCAGGGAAGAGGACCAATCCTGGAAACCTGTCTGATGGCCCTTGCAGAAACTTCTGCTGCTCTTATCCCTCTCTGGCACCACAGAGTCCCCTGATCGTGTTGGGAGAGACAACGGTTCTGCAAGATCCAAAACTCTTCTCCAAAATGGCTTCTATTCCGTTCCGGCTCTAGAGCTGGCTTAGATTGATCCCTTTCTATTCATTTCAGTGGGAGGGATTTGCTAAATGTTTAAAAAAAACCCAGGGGAGGAAAGAAAAAAATCCGTCTCTTCTTTCTTTCCACCCTGTTGAAAGAATGTGTTTCCTCATTCCCCCACATACAACAAGGGAGAGTTACCAGCCTTCCATTTCCTTGCACTGATCTCTGGAATGCAGGGAAGGTAACGCTAATCCATTGTGTGCTTGGAGACACACCCTTCTGGAGTGCAACACATGAGCTTGCTGTAAACCTCCTCAGAGTTTCTTTACTGTGGATGGGTTTGAGCAACATCCAAAATTCCTACTCTCAATACTTTAAATAGAAAGATGGTCCTGTCCAGTGAGAAGCTAGCTTACTCCTGCGGAATCCACAGATAAGCCAAATCAAAGGATAGAGCAAAAGGCCCCGTCACGCCTCTCTCAAGGGCTCCCACTCCCCCAGTTATCGCTAGCATCTATACCCTGTTCTTCTCCATGAACCCAAGCCGATAGCCATGCTCAAACTGAAGGTCTCTCTCCTTGTTCTTCTCTTCTTCCTCATGGTTCGAGTAGAACTCCAGCCTTGTGGCCACTGGCAAGTTATCGGCAATGCTGCAATGACAAGTCCAGGTCAGATCAGCTGTCTTCCCTTCATCCCGAAGGACCCACCTGGCCCCACTGAAGGCCCTGGCAAGGGAGATCCCCGCTTATTTTGAGGGCAAGAGGACTCACAGGTGAACGTAGTATTCCTCCTGGATCCGTTCAACCACTAGTTGGCTGCTCTCCTTGGTCAGGACAACAGGCTTGTTTGGAACATTACACAACACCTCACATTTCTTTTCGATATTCATGAAAACCTGGAAGGGAGTGTTGACAATCCGGTCCCCCCTCAGAACCTCACCTATAAGCAGGGCAGGGCAGGGGTCAAGGGGAGGAAGAAGAAAACTATTCAGAGGGTCCCTTCCTTGGTGGCAGGAAACCGCCGAGTTCTAATCTCTGACATCTCCAGTTAGCAACATAGTTGGGGATCAAGGCTGCAAATTCAAGGGTGGGCAACATGTACCCCAGACCCGTTTTGGCAGCCCCTACAGCTCCCCAAGGTTGTGCACATCAAAATTTGGTAGTAGAATGATTTTTGATAGGATGACTCTTTTGCAGTTTTTAAAAACAAAATGAAGACTAAAATAGGTGTGTTAAGCTTCTGGAAGCTTAAAGCCTCAGTTCTGACTTCTTTATTTACCACTTACATCTCACCTTTCAAGATAACAATAATCCTAAAGTAGCTTATGGCAAAATAAACAATTATAAATACAAATATAATAAACATTATTTAAAGCCAAACAAACAAAAACATTTCTAGGACCCTGGCTATGGGGAAATTGGTGGCAAGGGCACAGGGAGGCAAAGAAAGGCGGGAAATTTCACCTGAACAGATTTCTGTGTTAATCTTTGCTTCCCTCCCTCCCACAAGTTCTCTAAACCCCCAAAGGAGCTGAAATTGCTCAGAACACAGTGCTTTGGTTCAAGCTTAAAAAAGTTTATTTTGAGCTTTCAATTTTTATTCTTTAAAATGAGACTGCACAATTTGAAATAGTGCCACCTGACAGAGCCAAGTTTTGTTCTCAGGCAAGTTTTCTTGCAACTCTGAAACCCTCAAAACACTTGACCTTTAAACATTTTTGCATACCCCATGAGACACTAAGAGATGCTGGAGCTCAGACACATGGAAGTGTCAACAAGAGGTGCCAGCTCATAGACAACATGGAAGGTGGGAGGCTACACTAGGGAATGGAGCACTGGGGCATTACCCAAATTCTCCGCTTTATACGTGATGGTGCCAGGCTGGCAGAATGGTAAGGAGTAATACTCATAGGGTAACTGGGTCCGCGAACTGGTGAGTTTCACAGCCTGGAAAAAGAGAGAGAAAGTGATGCCATCCGTCCCAAATCCCCACATCCAAGAGCCCCAATCCGTCTCCTTCTTTCACCAAGAAAACAAAGTCTGTTTTACAGACGAAACGTTACAGACAGGATATCTGGCTAGGAACACTGTAATTATGCTCAGGGCTTCCCAAACATAATTGCTGTTGCTCTGGAAGCTCCTGGGAGAAGATAAAACCCACAGCTTTAGGGGATGGGGAGAGGAGAAAAACCACAGTCTAAGAGGCTGCTAGTTCAGAGCCCTTGCGTTAGTGGTCTCGGAGAACGTAACATCCTGCAGTATTCGATCCCTCACATTCGAAAATGTTGAAATACTGACAGGAATAGGCAACGTTTTCAGCTTATTGTGGGCACAAAGGAAGCACATTGTGGGAACAGAACTAATCAATCGTGAAAGATCCGGCATCCATTATAACTAGAAAATCACTTAGATTGGCTGGGAATAATGGGAGCTATAATCCAGCATATCTGAAGGATACCAGGTTGAAGAAAACTACTTCAGAGCATTCAAAACCCTTCACATATTTTACCACAGTATCCCTGTAAGGCAGTGTTGTCCAAACTTGGCCACTTTAAGAGGAGTGGACTTCAACTCCCAGAATTTCCCAGCCAGCATGGACAACACTGCTGTAAGGCAACTCTTACAGTGATCTAGTATTATTTTTGTTTTAGATTCCTTTTCCAACTCATCTTAAAACTATAGTGAATCAAGACAAAAATAGTTTCACATGAAAATCTATAAATTCCTGGGGCCCAGCAAAGGTGAGACTAAGCTCTTTTTAGGATTCATCAAGAGAAAGAGAAGTGTATTTTCACACTGCAATCAAAGGGATTTGAAGGGCTTAACAGGTGAGACTCTGCTTGTGATGCAATGAGTCAGAAGCTCAGATAAAGCAATGGCGCTTTCAGAATTAACACATGGTGTAAACAGGCCTTACAACTGTTAAAAGTAGCTGAAAAGTAATACCTCTGCCAACGCACACAACAGAGCAGCCCGACCCTGTGAGGTGCTGTGCAGGTCTATTGAGACAGTTACGCCCAGCATTTTCCAGTTTCCATCCACACTAGCACGGGCATTTCAAGAACGGCAGCGCTCTGCATAGGTGAAAACTTTTTTTTCCTCCCCCAGGGTGATGACACACTAGCATGATCAGACCTAGCCAGGATTCTAAATCTGGCCAAATTGTAAAGGTAATGAAACTTAGTGCCACCCTACCTTGATTTCTACAGGAGCATTCCGGTGAAAATTGATGGGAGCAACTCCTGGCACATAGAAACAACTCACCCCATGCCACAAGAGGAAGAGTGGGCATGTAAACCTCTGCCAAAAAGAAAAAGGAAATGTTTGTCACCACAGCAACCTCTGTTCAGAACACTGGGAAGACAGAATCAAGAAGGAACATCTTCAGGTTCCTGTGCCACCTCCTCCTGCAGGCAGGGACTCTTGGCAAACCCCCTCTACATAAACACACTTCAGTGCCAATCTGGTCAGAAGAGACAGACCTGCAAGTTGACCCATGGCAAATCAGCACTTTGAACTGGACTCAGAAACATACCATCAACCAGTGCGGCGACCAGAGCACTGCTATTACATGGCTGAATCTGCTGCCACTTGTGAGCGGGTGACACACTGAACTTTGTGGCACCTGAGGTTTCTCAACTGTCTTCAGAGGAACCCCTGTGCAGAGTGCACTGCAGTGATCAGGGAGCAAGATAATGAGGGCATTGGTCAGAACTTCCTGATCCAGGAAGGACTGCAACTGGCAAACCAGCTGAGGTAGATAAAGACACCCTTGACACCCTGGCACTACCTGATATTCTAGCAGGAGTCCGGGAAGATCCCCAAGTTGTTGATTTGCATTTCTGCCAGATCAGTCACTGAAAAGCAACAACTGCATCTCGCAGGGATTTAACTGGAGCTGGCGTGGAGCCATTTAGAGCCTCCAGGCACCAAGTCATGATTTTCATAGCATCCCCAGCTCTACCGGGGGTAGTGATGTGTAAGTCAGTATCACCAGGATATTGTTGATACCTCATCCCAAACTGATAGCGGTTCCATGTAGGGGTCAGGGCAAAGTCCTAAGGCACCTCACGCTGGAGCAATTACTGTCTTGATTGTTTCTCCCCATTCATTTAAACTGGAACCACCTACTTAGTGGTGGAGCCACTGCAAAACTCCAGAAGAATACCATGGTCAATGGTATCAAACACTGCTGAGAGGTCTAACAGGATCAGAAGGAGCACGTACCCTCCCTCAAGATCCCACCCAAAGTCATCCACTAGCGTAGCCAATCCCATTTCCATCCTGGGCCTGGAACCTGACTGAAAAGGGTACAGAAAATCTATTTCCTCTAGGAAAGGTTGGGGCAGTTGTCTGAAGTGGCTGGCTCAAGAGCTAGCTACATTATAGTTCAGCCATGCAACCCCTCAGAAGTTGTTCAACCACTACTCCCAGCATCTAGTCAACATGGCCAAAAGCAAGGGGTGCTGGGAAATGTAGTTCTCCAACAACTAGAGGTCTAACGTTGGCACCCATTATTTAGTGCAATTGTGAACCTAGTCCAACTCTGTGTGCAAGGAAGACAAATAGAAGTCCCACTGTTGTTATGACTATTTGGGGGCTGAACAATTTCAGACTGAACTTGTCTGATTCTTCTCTGACATTTTGCAAACATCAAACCTATATTCATTTTGCATGTGCAGGACATGCATGTAGAAAATCTTCTACATGTTGATTTAGCTACCTGCTGACTGAAATGGTATATATAGGTAGCAGCAGCAACAGCAGCTACAGATTCATCACTTGGGGCAGCATTTGGCCTATATTCAGTGACCTAACAGTATTGCTTATTACAGAAGCTCCCATAAGAGTCAGCGCCTCTTTTTCTGCAGACATGGAAAAGCTAGCTGGGAGGAATGGGGGCATATTTTATCATATAATTTTTAAGTAAATCTTTACACATCTCAAAATCTGCATCTCCAAGGACATTTGACTACCGCATTCCCTTTTTTCACAATACAAATGAAACTGTATGTATAAATCTAACCAAAAAAAACCCCTTACATAAATGTAAATATAAAAGGGAGAAAACACACTCCAACATTATACTTTTCTACAATTCAGGTATGCTAACTACATCTTTGTAGAAAATATTATAACTCAATTTTTAAATAACAAATGTAAAATGTTATTTTAAATGGAATCATGTTGTCATAGTAGTTTTTCCTTTCTATCCATAAAGTATCAATTTAAGGGTTGAGTTGACCAATTCAGTTTAGAAACTGATATACAAGCTTGCTTCCAAAAATACATCATCAGCATTTTTGTGACTGTCCAGGTTTTTTATGACTCTCCAGACCAGAGCTCTTCATAAAATAAATTTGGGGGATCTGATTTTAAAAACCTTTCACATCTTTAATGCATACTACCGCATTCATATGCCTGCAGAATTCCTCATTCCAAGCAGGGAAGCTCCAGACTGGGTTGAGCAATCTGTGATTGATATACAGCCTCTTCAGGCCACCAAAATGTGCAAAGACCATCCTTTTTACCACTCTCTGTTTGTGGCACTATCATGTCACCGCCATATCCTCTGTGGCTTGGAGAAGAGGAAAAATGAGACAGTGTTTTCCTTCCTCCCTCACCAACATCTAAAAAGACTGTCCACCCCTGTTGTAGGATAATACGACTCTATACAAACTACATTTGAATATTTTGAGTACTTACAGCTTGCAGTGGGTGAGGACTATCACATAGCTTTCATACAAGTATATAAAGGCCACTGCTGTTTAAGTACAGGTAATCTTACTGAAATGCCAATTATTTTAACAGGACTCTGCAAAAAGTTTCTCATACATTCTGTTCACAGCAAATGTAAAATTCAGAAAAGAACATCTTAAAACACAGACAATGAATCGATGAAAATAAGGGGGAAACCAAAGTAATAATCAGCTGCTTTTGGAGAAGAGTAATTTATATGAATAAGGTCCAGGGAGTCCCAATCATTCATCTCCCTTAAAACCACTAAAATATATGACAATTTAAAAGACAACATAATATAGTGCTGAAAGTATTAAAGTGAACTTTCAAAACAGGTAATATAGCATGAGGAATCCAATGTATACACTGATAGATAATCACAACATCACCATGACAGGTAACTAGAAGCATGAATCAAAAGTAATTCATTTTAAGAATGTTAAATCTTTAATAAGGAAAGCATTGTTTGTTGTACCCATGTGAAGTTTCAGACACCTTACACAAAGTCCTAGGTCTCTGGAGAAGCCTATAATGCTGGGAAAGGTGGAAGGAAAGAGAAGAGGAGGATGACCAGCAACAAAGGGGATGACATCAGTTTCAGTAGCCACGAGTGCCCCATTGGAAGACCTGAAGGACTAGATTAGGAACAGATGATCAAGGTGAAAATCTATCTAGGTGGTTACTAAGAGTCAGCAATGAATTGATGGCACATAACTAGTCAATGCAAAGGCCCAGCTCCCTTGAGAAGTCTATAACGCTGGGAAAAGTGGAAGGAAGGAGAAGAAGAGGACGACCAGCAGCAAGGGGGATGGACTCAGCTACAGGGGCGATGGGGGCACTGTCTGGAGACCTGAAGGTCCTGGTTGGGGACAGATCACCCTGGAGAAGGTCGATCTATATGGCTACTAAGAGATAGACACTGATTTGAGAAAATCCATGGGGTTGCTAAGATTCGACACTGAGTTGATGGCACATAATCAATCAATCAATCAATCAATCAATCAAAATTCACGTAAAGAACTTGTGCTAAAGAGCCGGTGACGGCGGACCTGGACCCTGGGGCCGGAACCCAGCTGGAGGCTCCGCTGGAGTGCGACCCTGGACCTGCTGAAAGTAAATTCCCTGACATCCGGCAAGCAACGCTTTTCAGGAACGTGCTTGGACACGGACCGCAAGGCAGCCAATAACGGGTCAGGCAGACCCTCCTTTTACACGGGATGAACCCCGGGATTAAAGGGACTTGCGGACGTTACCATGGGGGCCCAAATGAGCGCTACGGGCTGCCATAGAAACCCCTCGCGGCTCGGGGAGGGGGCTGCCTCACAGTCACGTCCGAGATGAGGGTCTCTGGACTGGGGCGGGCAAAAGAGCTCCCCCCATGTCCTCCCCGCTGGCAGACCCCCGCCCCCAGGAGACTCTGGTGCCCCTC